CATTTATGGCTTATTAGCCGTCACCAGCCAGCTATACCCAAACCCAAGCGTGGATTACTTGAGATTCGAACCCGGGGTCTTTGTTCACATATGCATGCGCCCTAGTTGTGGGTCTGTCTTCGTCGCAACTTTATGCGGGCGGGAGAACTATTCAGCGAAAAAATAAGTTAACATGCGAATGACAACGTTCATTCGTGGGCGGAAGGGGGGGGAAAGGAGGTCGGCTACCGCATAGGGGCCAGTGACTGATGTCCGTAGATCAACCCCGAAGTAATGAGCGCGAAGTCCGCGCACAGTAAACTCCTCCCCTAACCAATAGAGTGTAAGGTTTGTGATCTGAGTGTGAGCACTGCCAACCGAACCGACGCGATAATCGAGTATCGAGTGGTGTGAATTAAAAAGTACTTAAAGTGACCGGAAAGCCAGTCTTCTTTACAATATTCAATGGAAAAACTACTTCCTCAACTACACCGGTGAAAAAGGACGAAGACTGGCATCGTTAATACACAAGTACAAGAATGCAGCAAGTCGCCATAACCAAGCGAGACTTGTCACCGGCTTGGTACCCAATACAACTTTGACCTCAACGGGATGTGTTTAATTGCCGATGTGCAGCAAGACGTTTCGTGAGTTTGGGAAGCCCTGTTATTCAGAATCCAAGATTATAACCGGCGAGTAGACATCCCATCGGCATATTGCTCCTACAGAGTCGTCTGTGGCAAAGATGAGTTCATGAGTAAGACTCGGGCGACGAGCTTGGCAAAGGTAAGTAGTGTGTTCCGTTATTCTTCATTCGCGGCTGATTTCGAACAGGAGTTTGGAACATCGGTCAAACGTACCTATATGCCCCAAGGGCAAGCTCTCCGTTTTACACCGCGATAAATTTCACTATTTATCATTGTAAGGACGTTATATTCTAACTCCAGACCCGCCATTGGCATCATAGAGCTCGAAGCCTCCCCCTCCCGAATTCAACTCTGAACAGTAAAAGTGACTCCCACGTGACACACATAGAAGTTGCAAAATCTGCCAAGACGGTTCGGGGTTGCCGCACTGCATATTACCGAAGTAAGGCTGGACAGGGGTTTGAGGAACTAACAAATGAGAACTCTTCTGACGACAGCGGAGTGACAGAGATGCCCACTTTCTTAGGAAGCTCTATGACTGTATCACATGTATGAATGGCCATTTTTTTACCAATTTTAATGTCTGATGACTCTGTCAACTTGTCAAGATGAAATGAGATTTTACAGACGGAGTACACAGCAGTGCCGCCTAAGACGCAGCAGTCAGTCATCCAAGTTTAATAACATCTCAGGCTGACTGACTCGCTAGACGTCATTGCTGGCGCCCGGACTGAGTTTACTCTGATACTCCCACTTATATGATGCCTAGATTGCATTGTCTGAACATGGCGAAAATGTACGACCAAAGCAAGCATGGTTGACAAAATAAAATAAACGTCCCAAGTGTAAAAGTCCCAAAAATATCGATTTGCTTGCTTAGTATTATTTGGGGAAGGTACTTGAGCGCATGCCCCTTTGGAGACCATGAACAGAAAGCAGAAGCGAAAAAACAACGCTGATCGCCAAACAACATTTCGTTTTGTCGAAGTCAGTGCAATCAGCCATGGCGATAAAACCCACTCGAGGTCAAATGTAATCACGCCAAAAATCTAGTAAGGTCCTTCTCTCCGTCGCGAAGAAGGTCCACTAGAACTTCAAAATGAAAGACATAAAGACCATTGCCCTCGCCGATACTCTCGGAGGCACAAGCTTACGCTTTGAAGTACCAAATATATATATCGAGTTTTTCATCATGCGTGGTTGGCGTCATCCGAACGTCAAGCGGGTGACTATCTTTTTCGTCCTCTTTGTTTATGGGCAGAATCACCGTGCGGCCGACCACGGGAATATGGACACTCCATTACTGCAGGTTGCCTTGCGTTAAATTCAAAGGGTGAACATACTTCCGTATCCTAACTCTAACCCCAATCGTAAACCTAACAATTACCCCAACCCTGACCTTAACGGTACTACCAACTCTCATGAACCGAACCTCAACCACAACTTCAATCCGAACCTTCCTATCTCTGACTCTAATCCCCTGGAATTTAGGGCAAAGCCCCTGGTCGTTATTAGTTCTCAACCAGCCAAATACGGACACATAGGCACTAGCCCTCGGACCGTACACATATCCAGTTAAGTCTGAATTAGTCACGCAATAGTTGAGTGGCTCGGCTTGGTGGAAGAATGTGGTGCCTAGATTTGAAGACGAAAATGACCACTCAACCCTCCGGTGCAAGGGGGTTAAGGTTCAGCGATTGGCCTAAAGGCAGACTGGGTCTTACCAAATGGCGGCCGACATCCATCACATCGTAATTACTGCCACAGCTCACAACCAATCGTAACTAACCGAGTTTCTGGAAAGGAATCCAACCGCGCCTGAAGGTAATATCAGTACGCGGCCAACGACGGGTTATTTCGCAGCCAGCCCTTAGTGAAGGCCATCCCACTATTCAGTCTGCGGACGTGCCGGGCAGACCGCCCTCATGTTGGGGCCTGCTGACTTCGAGCCGTGATAAATCCCAGTGTGTGCATGATAACGCGACTTAACTGACGCATTCTTTAGCGTAGTGGATGCAGTGTTTTTTCTTCCGAATGCAAATCAGGGTTGATGCGTTAAGAAAAGAGAACAACCGTCCCTAAAAGGAAACGTTGCATGATACGAAATTAGGATCCTGCACCCTCAGTGGAATTGTCCTTTTGTTTTGGATTCTACGCTCGCAATTAACATAAAAGTACTAACAGTGCAAGCTTCGACGATCCCTGCTCTCATGATGCGCTTTACTAGGCGTCGGCCCCCAGGCTTAATGACAGCTACTGCAGAGACGTGCACTTCGAGATGTTGATTTTCGGAAATGGAGCGAGACAGCTGACAGATAAAAAAACCCTAAACACACCTCCAAAATAATTGGTCGAAAGTAATTTATTTTGACCAAATTGTGAAATGCTCGGCGGCCACGGTGGGATTCGGACCCACGACAGCAGAGGGAAGGTTTGGGTACAGCCAACGCTCTGACCACCTGAGCTACGACGCCCTACCGGGTAAAAGCCGCGTGACTTTGCCTAACCAAATACAAACAATTCGGGCATTTTGTTGAATTTCTGTGTCGAATTGACAGTGTGCCTTATCTGGATACATTTGTTGAGAACAAAGGGAAGCCGCCAATTTTTCTAGTTGGTAAACTCCGAATGGAATTTTGGAGGCAGATCAAAGGCATCGTTGAGGTGTTCAACCCTGGTACTTTATCATCAGCCTAGTTCTATCCTCATTTGACGGTCAGTACCCTGTAGATTTTCCACTAGAAAATCCCTGGAGTCTGTTTAGCTGACTAAAAGATCCACGAGGTCAACACTCAAGCTTGGCTAATCACACTAAGTCCATTAGTCCTCAATTCTGGAAGGAAGACATGCAAATTAAATGTCACCTGTGACCGAATATAAATGAGGAGGATGAGGAGTCCTACGAGCGGAGTACTTTGCGTAACACGGTCAACTCCACATTTATAGACATCAAAATAATCAAATATAGGTGTTTGCGTAACTGTAAAAATATCAGTTGAACATGGAACTCAAGACCCCAGTATTAGAAGTGGCCTTACGCTACGTTCCAAGGGCGATACCGGTTACAATGCCCTGTCTTTAACCCTCAACGCCAACCCTCTTTACCATTACCCTTATTGGATTTAGTGCAAGGCCACATGTCACACTGAGGGGGGTCCATACTCCAGTGTCCCACCCGAATATCCAATTTTACATCTGACTACGTATTGAAGTCCGCCAGATGGCAGTTGTGGCCACCTCAAGAAAAACGTTGTTCTGTACTCCTACAATACGTAGTAGGGGCAAACTAACCTGACCGTCTGAGTATCTAACAGGACGTGCCCAAATACCTGCAAAGACTGAAAAACTTGCATTTAATACGGCAATGCGAACCATAAGAGCCCAGAAAGTTTTGCGATAGGTACGCTAGATCGCTGATTCCCAAGCTCTTGGATGGCGGCCCAACTGTGAATCTTTAGCTACTCGCATGTGTAACGATGTGATTTGTTGTACAATTTCTATGCGTCTTTTTATAGAAGGAACTTCACTATTATTGGTGCATAAAGGAGAGGAAAAAGTGCATCGGACGAGCTTCGGCCTATAAGTATGTCCATATGCATTATATAAAACGAATGTTTAGTAAATTTCGTCTCTTTTTACCCGCCTTTCTTTCTTAGGGGGTAGTCGGCTTAAACCTCTTTGGAACTTCAATTCGCGAACGCGAAAGATTTGGAGGCGCGGTAGCGGGTAGTCATTCGGAAAACAATTAGTGACCATTTTCTCTCATGCAACATTACAATGTTCTGCGCTCGCAACATAAACTTACCTATGGTGGGGAACGCTCGCCGAACGCGTTACGGGACATACTCGCCCCGTTATGCCTTGGGGCTTGATTTAGAGTCCCGCAGGTAGCCGCACAGCGACTAGCAGCATTACCCACAAAAGCAGGAAAGGCTGGAATGACTAATTCTGACTTATTAGCCGTCATTATCCAGCCCAAAGGCACCACGGGCGAGTATGTTACTCAACGCAGTTGGGGAGAGCCCTTCACCGTAGTTAATATATACCCGATCACAACTGAGACCGTGGATCAATGACTAGAGCATTTGACCGGCCGAACGAGGGTCCGAGCCGTATGGGTTGCGGCAAACCTGGGGTTGGGTAGGGCCGGCTGAAGATGGCTAAAAAGCCAGAACTGGCCATTCCATTTGCCCTTGTCTTTGTCAGTCGTGTCGTCATACACAAACTTACGTTTGAGACGTGGCTGACATCGTAAAGTATTTCGAAAAAAGTCGTAATAAGGTTCCTTGCTCAGGAAATGGATCGAGGGTTCCCTATAAGACAGTGGAAAATCTAGGAGGTTGATGTGGCAGGCATGACAAAACGTAACGGCACTCACAGGATCGGCGTCGCCGTCTGAGCCTCCTTTTCCTCCGGCGAACGCGCGGCATTCCGATTGGCCCTGTCGGTAAACTGAGGCGGTCTCATGGGCGGAGCATAGTTCTGTTTTAGTGGCGAGGTACGATTATAGGACATTTCTGGGTCCACACCGTTGAGGCGCTCAGTGTTCATTCGTCCGGGGAACGTCTGGCCAAGACTGCTGGAGGCACGAGGCACGGTGTAGGACATGTCGTCTGGGGCCTAGATGGTGCCAGTGGAAGCGCAGTAATCAGAGTCATGAAAGAAAACACTTCTTGTTCAGGAAAGTTTAGAATTGAATGTTTTCGGGTACTGCTGCACTTCTATGAGTCAAGCATAGCTGAGACAACATACTTAACCAAGGTTGCCCGATGTCATCGTTGATCGAAACCAGCTGTATGAGCGTCATGTTAGTAGTAATTTCAGTCAATGTATAGGAATTTTATGACTGAATTCAAAGATAGAGTAGAAGGGTGGGAATGCCATTCCGTGAGGCATAAAATGTCAAGCGACCACTTCTTAATGTCCGTCCACATCGGGAGACATTAACTCGTTAAAAGAAGTCAGGTGGGGGAAAAACTAACACAGTTCCGCAGTCAAGAGAAGACTCCGTAGTAGACTCACTTTATTTACTGTGCCTCATATCTTTCGAAACTGCTTTTTGAGATATACATTCAGGAATTCAGTAAAAGTCTAATGCAAGTAAATGGTAGGAGAGGAAGAAGAAATAACGAGTCAGGTTCATGTTCAGACCACCTTTGAGTGGAAGGAACAGGTACTTGACAGCAGACAGATTCAAGAGACCATTTGTAGGCCAACAATTTATTAAAAACCTTGCGACCTTTCGGTTTTCCAGTCTCGCCCTTGTGTTCATGAGGACACTTGTTCGCAGTAGGACGTAACAGTACAATAAAAAATAAGTGCAACTAACGGGTTTTATGACGTTGTTATGCCCCTGTGAAACGTTCGACAGAAACTTCGCAGAAACGGCCCACATGCACGGCTAGCACAGCTACGCAGGAAGAGGTTTTGTGCAGGCAAAATATGATCTTAAAATCCGGATTACCTGGAAGATGGTAATTAAGGATGCGATAGTACTGTTTAGATTTGATTAAAAAACGTATTTGCATGCACTAGGTGCTAGACCGAACGCAGTAACTCTTGCACGCCAGGTGTAGCAGAAGAGCCGAAAAAGGTATAGTCGTGCGGTGTGTTCTGGCAAGAGGATAGCTGGTAAGCAGTAGCAGGGGAGCAGGCATGCGTTGTTGAAAGCCAACGGGACTGGGGTTGGGGGCAGGCGTGGTTCACGGAATTCCCAACTGACAGACAATTGGCGGTGTGCTCGATACCTGGGCTGTTTTGCCTGGTTCTGCAGATGACCGGCCCGTTGCGATCTCTGACGAGCGCCGCCAGACGGGCAGGTTACTCACGCTGCACTCGTCTGGACCAAATTCATAAGGATTTTCGGCAGCAGCAGCAGCTGCTGCAGTAGCAGTGGCAACCGTGGAAAGTTCGGAGGCGCCCGCAGACCACCGCGGACCTGTGCCCATGACTGCAGACCCCGTGTTTGATAACTGATGAGAAGCACTTCGATAACGCCGACCGAGAGAGTCACTTTGAC